TCCAAAATTGCTCCATTGGAAGTTTGGGTCTTCATCCAGCAATCATCAGCAGGGTATTCCGGGCCCCTCCCAAACACCATTTGATTCGGGCTGTACCCACCTCGACGCATGAGTTGGTTTTTGGACTCAGCAACACAGTCTACACATTCCAGCCATTGATTATAATCATCTGGTTGCATCGGGTCCATGACTTTAGTCAACATGGCTGCAAAATGCCTTCCCTGAACCTCCACATCTCCCAGTTGTTCATGGGCCTCTCCTGGGATGTGCAAGGGGGTAGTACCGTCTCGCTCCAAAGCGTCCAGGAAGGGTTGGCCGAGGTTACACCGGCTGGCATCAAATTTCACATAACGAGGTCTTCCGAAAGCTCTTGTCCACATCCGGTACAATCGAACTAGCAGGTCTGAGGTCTCCGTCTCTCGAAATGGAAACATCTGTTGAAAGCTGTTGAGTGCTGTGATCTGCATGTCCTTCTTCCAAGTTGGTGACCACTTGACATCCAGACCAATGTACCGGAGAGGTGCCAGATCTCTCGGGACAGTGCTGTCCTTTACCGCTTTCGGCATCTTCCTAGCATCACACAAGTCACACTGGAAGCTCTTAACAATCTCCAGCACCTCCGAACGAGCTCCGTGGTGTTTCAAGATCCTGGTCATATCCTCTATTACGGCATGTCCCAAGTTCACGTGCATCTTTCTGACAACATTCAGGATTCTGGTCTTAGAGTGTTTACTTAACTCAGGAGTCTCATCTCATCTTGAATATCGGCCTGACTGATTGGGCAACACAAGCTCTCAAATTTCTCATTACAGGCGATACCCCGTAGAATAGCGTGAATGAGCTTCTTGGGGCACACTTGAGTCTGAATGGATCTCAATTGCCCTCCGGACTGGCCTTCGACCACTTGGTGTTCATGATCCTGAGTGCAGATGAGCCGGTCCAGCATTGTCACGGTGCCGGGGCATTGGTGAGGAAGCCCCACTTTTTGCCAAACAGCTTGCCCGAGCCCTTGTCTCGCAGCCCAACCGAGCATGCTGGGACATCAACCCGATGAGTGTCTTCAAGCTCCATGAGGTCCTGCAAGGCTGGTTCCTTCCAGGCTGCACTCGTAGCCGATGATTCGAACAGGAATAGTCGACCCTTTCTCATTCGATCCCTCGCAATGCGAGTGCACCAAGCCACCATCGCTTTTGCCTCCACTATCGACTTGTTGAACTGGGCCAAATCCTGCCTTCGCCATGGCGGCGTCGAGTTCTGGAGTTTGGACAGAGGTCAACATGGCGGACTCATGATCACGATGTCCGGGTCTTCCTCCTCCAAGCACTTCCAGACGGCAGCACGATCTACTGCTCGCTTCCAGTCCCATCCCATCGAGAGGTCAAAGGCTTTGGCTCCCCGCAGACCGAACATCTGCGCTTTCTCCCCAAAGCGGCCGGGGCAGAAGATCTCCATACATGATGGCCACGCCTCTTGCTCAGCAGCTAATACTTCAGTCAGTCCTGCTTGTAGGTTCTTCCGCTCCCGAGCTCCCATCACATGTGCCCCAATGTCCTCATCCTCCGACATCTCAGCTTCTGGCTCTTCCGCTGGCTACTGCCGGTCCGGTTGTCCATGCTCTTCCTCATGGGCTTCTTCCACCCTCTCATCAGATTCCACCTCATAATTAACGCTCCTCAGCGTCTGCCTCCACGGGGTCGTCCGTCTCTTCCTTCATGGGGTCCGGGTCCATCTCCTCGTCGTTCACTGTGATGTTGTTGGCACCGTTCTCCTCGTCAATCTCCCTTCTGGTCTCCCGACGGTCATTGGGTCGGGAGACCGGTTCGGGTCAATTTCATAGGGCTCCTCATCATCTTCTTCATCCTCAACGAACGGCTCACCTTCAGCCTGTAGTACCTCCACTTCCTGGTCTTTCACCTTGGGCGGCCTCGTCATATCGACCAGGTTGATCTGGTAACTGCCGTCTCTCTGTTCATGTAGTGGGACAGACACCTGAGCCTTTGTCAACTGTAGTTCCCCTCACTGAAGATCCATCACTGCCCCAAGAGCCTTCAGAAACTTTTTGGAGATCAGTAGCGGCACTGAGCCCTGGACCACGTGCATCCTCAGCCAAGGGATTTGTACAGTCCGATGTGAGGCATCTGCCGATCCATTCCCATATCGGAAATGGTGTGGCCGGTGTTCCAGGTCTTTGATCTCGATGCCATAGGCTGCCAAGACTTGTTGATGTCGTTTGAGAGTTTCCTCTGCAAACCACGGCCGCATCCAGCGTCAACAACTCCGAAGCCGGCCTCATGGACCAACGCCACCAGCGTTTTATCCTGGCTCACTGACGACGCTTCAGACTCTGCTAGTGCTTCTTCTTGAGCTCTGTCCAGCTCGTCCTTGTACTCCTGGGCCAAAGCCGCAAGCTCCTCATCAGGAAGGCCAATCTCCGGCTCCCTCATGTAGAAGATGGTCTGCCCGGTCCACTGATAGTGAAGGTCTCGGTGTGCTTCTCCTCGGTGCTTCCAGTTTGCCGCGAAGAGTACTGAAGTGTCTCCATTTGCCTTGATCGCCCTGGTCGCGCGGGCCTCACACAAGTCTGCCAAAGCCACGAGACAGCCTGACGCTGCGGGAGAGAACAGCTGGCTCCTCGGGATCAGGTGTTTGCGAATGACTTGGCTCCCTTGAACATGCCAGTCCCTTCTTTCATACTCCCATCCCGTCACCATGGCCATCATCTCTTGTCCTGACAACGCAGGTCCCCAGGTGTGTGGATTGGCATGGTGCGAGGTCACCATCACCCCATTCTCGTCCGGGGTCGTGGCATAGTATCCACCGCTCATGATCTGCTCCGGTTCGAAGTAGTCGTTCGACCAGGTCATCAGCACGAGGTTCACCTTCGAGCTCGGAGGCGGCTGAAAGTCTTTCCCACTCGACTTTCCACCACCTTTTCCTTTCTTAGGACAGTTTCGACTGAAATGTCCAACCTGTTTGCATCGGAAGCAGCGGACGCGACTTTCGAGCCTCTTGAAGTCCTTGCCCGCATTGACATTGGGTGCTCCGAATCCTCTGGCCAGCTTCGTCTGGTTGATTCCAGCCCTTGACTGCTTCCAAGTCAGCCACAGCATCCTGTTCTTCAACTTCATCCTCCAGGGCATAGCCTGCTTCCGCCAGGTACACCTCAAACGCGTTCTCATCCGATGGAAGGTCCTCCTCGGAGACGGGCTCTGCATCCTCGACGTGATAGGTCCCTGTCTGTTTCGCCGCGTGGAACAGATTGTCCGGGTAGGTAGTCCTCAGAGCTGCAGCCACATCCTCCTCCTGGTATGACTGTCGTGCAGCGGCCATCACCACTGCCTTCCGTTCGGCTCTAAGTTTGCAAAACGAAGGAGGAGGTATCCTCGAGCGACCTCCGGGAAGACAACACCCTCGGCCTCTGCTGCGGCGAACGCCGCCCGTGCTTTTCCAGTGTATACGGCCGTGTTCTCGCCCTTCTCAACCTTGAGGTCAAAGATCTGGTCCAGCACCTTACCGAGTCTGTCGTGTGTCGCTTCTGCAGGAAATCGTTCGTCCAGTACCTGGAAGATCACCTCTTCTCCGCCTTCCTGCTCGATCCTGTCCATTGGGATCGAATCCAAAGCTCGAAGGGCAGTCCCGCCTAGCAGAGCGAAGAGCAAGCTGCCATGAGCTTCTGTCGGAATCCCCTTGGCCTTCTGCGCGGTCAGGTAGGCACGACTCCACCGTCGCCAGCACTCGTAGTCCTTGGACGGGTTGGTGCTGTCCCCATCAAACCGCTTGGTAAGGCCATCTTGCCTCTTCTCTTCCGTCGCCATCCGTTCCCCCCCGCGGCAGCCCTTTCGGGCTCCGCTACCAATTTAAAGGGATTGGTCACCCTCAGCTGCAAGCCGCTCCTGCGGCCAACCACGCGCCTTTCACCGCTCAGGCGCCTAGTCACGTCGCCATGTCGGAACCCTTCCGACCTCGAAGATACTTGGGCCTATATGGCCAAGAAACAAAAAGGGCTCGAGTCATGAGAAACGGAATTCACAAACAGGGTAACTGGGTGAAAGAAAGATTTATCTGCACGTTGAATCATTGTGTCTAGTCTGAACCAACATGAATGAACCAACTATAGGACTTCTCCCTTCGCCCTTGTCTCGTGTTCACCCCCCTCGTCGGTGTCAGTGTGCTTCGGCACGGCTCAAATGAAGCTTTGATCCAAAGTCATGCAAGAGATTCAGTGCATCTGGGATAGGTGACCCACATGGGACAGGACAGCTGGGCATAGTTGGGCCATGCCGGCTTTGGGATCGCCCGAAAAAGAACCGAAGGGTCATTTGCGGAACTGGCGAAATGGCCAACATGGGAAGAACGTCGCAGAACCGCACAATCAGTCCAAAAAGATCCTAAACAAATCCGAGATCTTCCTACCGAATCATTGAAACAATATGGAAACCATGAAAAAAGTATTAAAGCAAAAGCGAAAAGAAACGCTCTTTGTTATCTGTGTTGAATCGTACCGCCCACGAGATGCATTTTCTCCCCCCTGTCACCCCCTGTCGGTGGCTTCGAGAACGTGAGGACCCCTGCCTTACAGGGACCCGTCAACACCTTCCATCAGCGAAAAACCTATCAGCCCCCGTCAGGACCGGTGGGATGACCTATCCGCCGAAGCAACTCACCGCGAATTAGTATAGGAGCCATGTCTATATGGCCCTCGGTTATTGTGTATCAGAGTACTGGTCACTGAATCGATTCGGGGGGTCCGCATCTCGTCGAAAAGTGCACAGCAACCGTTCACTTGCTGGTCATCAACCAAAGCCCTGTGATTCACTTGTGATTAAGTTGGGACTAGTGCTGATCTCCAAGCTGGCCTGTAAACACAGCAGAACTGCAGTGCCATAATAGTGCCAACAATATCATATCAGCCAAAGAACATATGTATGAAATTATATGGAATACAAATGCATGACATATGATATAAACATAGCATAATCTAATGTATATAACACTCATTGTCCAGATATCCACGCAAACATCAGCTTCGGACCCTTTCACCAAGCCTCAGACCTGTTCCAAGCCTTGGGTCAAATGCTGCCCTGCTCCGCGCCGCGCAGGTGCGGCGGCGTCCGCGGGGGCCGAGGCCGGTCCAGAGGCATGTCGGGGGTGTCGATCTCGGGCGGCGGCGGAATCACCAACTCGTCCTGGCGGCAGTAAAGAACTAGGAGCAAGGACGCTACTAGGGGCTCCTGGCCTTACCACTAGTAACAAGAAGCTACTACAAGTAGGGGCTCCTGGCCGTACTACTAGGAGCAAGGACGCAAAGAGAAAGTGGACACGTTCATAAGGGGACGAAGCGTATGGCATATGGGTTGGATTGGGTTTTGATCCAAGCTCTGTTACAGCTGTGTTACAGCGCGGCTGGGATTCCGGGGGTTGCAGGTCGAAGTTGACGTTGCTGAGTGTCTGATGGGTCAGCTTTTGCTTCCCCCAAGACTCCAGTCCTCTGCCATGCCTGCTGGGAAGATTAGAGTAATGGACCAACACGAGGATCAGGAGGGTCACTTTCAACCAAATTATATTATATACTAGAGGAGTGCTAATTTGTCGGGTGATGGCGGATGAGATGAGGTCTGATGTGGTGGCTTGTGACGTGGTGAAATGTAGTGGTTTGAGATGTGAAGTCTAATGTACGCAAAAAGCGTTTGATGGACGTTCTAGTTTTGCCACCAGACTGTTTCCTTGCCAACAGCAATTGTTCGTCACCTGGACCTTCACCTTCCAAACTTCCTGGCTAGCGCTGGATAGTCGGGATCTTCTGCGAGTCTGGACCAACCCAGTTGGATGCGAAATCAACGACGGGCATGTGGCGAAATCGACGCACAACTCAAAACACCATGATGAAACCCAGTTGACTTCGAGACCCGGCTCCAAAAGGTCGATCCGTTGGCAGGTGGGCATGATGAGTTCATTGGTTGATTCCCTATATAGTATGCATGTTATATGATGTTTTATTATTATTATGTGTGAGTGTGTGTGTTTGGGGACATTCTCGTTGCCGCGCCCCTCCTCCCCCATCAGCCCAAAGACGACACTTGCTGTGACTTCCGCATGGGTCATCCCATTTTCCATCTCATTGTACTTGGGGAGTTTTAGAGGTAGTAGCGAACCTTGTTCCGTTCGTAGCTTCTGGCCTCCACCCTACAAACGCGATGGCCTCCACCGAGTAGCGAGCGAAGCGTCCGGCTACGCTACGGTTTACCTCCTGCCCAGTTCGTCCGGTCACAGTCGGACGAGGAAAACGTCGTTCTTCTTGGTCGGACCGAAAGCTTCGGTAAAAAACACGTCCAGATCTTCACGGACTTTGGCTTCACCGTTCGGCTTCCCAAGTGAGCCGTGTTTGTCTGCTTGGGTTGTCCGCGTCCGCAATAAAGCCCAGTCTGTGGGAAGTGCATGAGGAAGTGCATGTTTGGTTGTAGTAACAGTTGCAAGACAGGATGGTTGTTCAAAGACCAGCTGAAAGACATGAAAGACTGCGGAAAATATGACCTCCAGCACCTGGAATGACCAAACCCAACACATACCAGAGGTTTGCTCAATGTCAGGTGGTGCCAGTGTATTCCTCCAACCTTTGTTTGCTAGGAGGGGGTGGTTGATGTTCTTCTATAGTGTTTTCTTGTTTCTTCAATACTCCACCTTCACCCCGTCATGTGGCGAACTCCCAAGGGAGCGACCCCGACCCATACCGACCCACTCTCTGCGCGGACCAACCGCTCCGGCTTGAAGGGCATCATGGCTTCCGCATTCTGAACCTGCAAAACCAAGGCACGTGGATTTAGGGAAGCAAGAAGTTCCCGCATGTGTATGAAATCCGTAACTGTGGATGATGGTTAGGGAAGTTAGGGCTTAGCAAAGGCCTTTCTCAATTGACCGACAATGGTTGGTTTAGACCCTTAGGGCCCCATCAACGAATGATCCATGTCAATGTGAGGCCAAAGAAGCCGTTGGAGCCCAAGTGATAAAGGTGGATGATCATTGTAGGCTGTTAATACCAAACTCCTATCCCTGGAGCTGAGGCTGGGAGATGGCTATCGTAACGATTTTGGTTGGCTCACGTTTGTGAACAGAGCTATTCCCGTGATGCAATGACTCCTCCAGCGACTTTGGCCAGCTATAGCGGTTTCGGCTTCGGCAGACTTGACGACCAGTTCGTGTGAAGATTCATAGAAATACCGCTCAATTTTAGCAGCACAACGTTCCAACACGTCCAGACGGGTTAGATGTTTCATTGGACCAATCATTGTAATTAGATGCCCTTCTGCAAACAATCTGTCTCGGGTTTCAAAAATCCCCGAGGCTTTTTCCATCGACTGCAGGCAACACCGTGTCTCGCCTCAAAAACACCGCAGGCTCCGTGAATGCGCGTCACACCGCCCTTGCGAGCGTGACCACCTTGGTCACATGGGCCGAAAGAAAATGGTTTGGACCTTCTGAGATGAACTGAGGTGAAAGAACCACTCATATCAGAAGGTCATATTTAGCAAACCATATGGGTGGTCGCCAGGTGGTGTTGACCACTCATACTGTTTTAGTTTTAACCACCTGGTCAGAAGGTTTTGACCTCCTGGGTCATCTGTTTCGACCATGCAAGAAAAGCAATCCGGCTTTGACTGTGGCCATGGGTCGAAAAACCAAGACCTGGTTGAGGATGGTAGGTTGACCTCCTTAGTGGTTGACCTCCTGTGCATGTTCCGTGGTCAAGCCGGGTCGCCTGGTGCCATGACCCACAGCCACTTTGGAATAGTATGGATTGGTAAACCTGCAACAGCAATGTAGCCAGCCCCTGCAGAGTGCTAGGCTTACATGTTCATACCGTACCAAAATTTGTTTATTCCGTACATCATTTGGCGTCATGGCACGTGAATCTAGATGGATGTAGTGTACCATCACCATCCAACACCAATCATTCTTAATTTCACACGACGAAAATGATGAAAACCCATAAAACTGATACGAGTGCGTGTGCTTGGTAGGCGGTGTGCTGATCCCCACATCTCTGCCTATTCATTGAATTCGTCGCCTCTTCCATCCTCTTACTCTGTTTGAAAGGATTGCAGCATCTCTTCTTTCCTTTCCAACCTCCATGTCTTGCAACTGTGGGGTTTCGCAATTAATGTTTTTGAGCGGGATTTAAGGCTGTGTAGCGGGAATAAGCAAGGGCGTTTTACACAAAGCGCAACCTCCAACAAAACCTACAACCACCTACACACAAAACAAAGGCAGCAGCATTACACTTGTTTCACTTGCTCTCTTTGCTGCTCTTCGTGTCACCGTGATTTCCCAAGCCTAGTTCTGTACATGCTTGGTCGTGAGCCAGGACGATGACAAAAACAAAAAGATTTGAGCGGTGATAAATTGCAAACTATTGTAACAAACGCTTCGTCCTCCCGGGGCTCAAACAAAATCAAAACACGTACAGCAGCAGCAGCCGGTTGAAGGAATTCATTTCTTGCCATTCTTGCTTTTTCCTTTCGCCGCCGCCTCCTTTGCCACCTTCTCCTTTGGCTTTGGCTTCGGCTGAGCCTGGTTTTTGCTGCTGCTAGCTGTAGAACGATTCTTTGAAAGGGATTTCTTCAAAGTGGCGGATATGATCTCTTGAGATGATGTTGGCTTCGTCTTCTGTGGCCTTGATACAACCACCTGCTCGGCTAATTTCCAAGGCAGCTGCTGCTGAGAATGCCTTCCAATTGCTGCAGCATGTGTCTCAGTCTCAGCCTTTGATGGTGGTCCAGTCTCTGTCAGACCTTCTGCTTCTGATGTGGCCTGCGTTGGCGCTTTCAAACTCTCTGTCTTCTGTTGTTTGCTCTCCTCAACGTTGACCTCCATGGTTTTGGCAACCTCCTGCTGCTCGGGTTCTGCATTCTCATCCTCTTTTAGGAAATCCTCCACTGCCTGCTCTAGAGCAGCGTCGAAGGACAACTCCGAGAAATTGTTCTCCAAGGTGTGGCCTGCATGTTGCGGCACCTCTTCAGGGCCTGTGTCTGCCTTTGACATATGCTGTGCTGGTGCTGGGGCTGGATTGCGAGGCACCTCTGCCTCTGCCCCTGCCGTGTCTTGATGCATCTCCTCTGCTTGGGGTGGGGCTGGATTGTGAGGCACGTTTGCCATTGCCTTTTCCTTTGGAACCTCCTCCACACCTCCTCCACTGGGGCTAGGGCTGGATTGTGAGGCACAATTGCTCCTGCCGTGACTTCTTGCACCTCCTCCACTGGGGCTGGGGCTGGATTGTGAGTCACATTTGCCCCTGCCGTGTCTTCTTGCCCCTCCTCCACTTGGGTTGGGGCTGGATTGTGAGTCACATTTGCCCCTGCCGTGTCTTCTTGCACCTCCTCCACTTGGGTTGGGGCTGCATTGTGAGGCACGCTTGTTCCTGCCGTGTCATCTGGCACCTCCTCCACTTCGGCTGGGGCTGCATTG